GGCAACTATGTGCTTGTTCAAACTTCTTCACCTAGAACAACAGAATACGTTCTTAAAATTCAGCAAAGCCAATCAATACACTACAGGAAAAATGGAGAGATACAATAAGAGCACGGTACCTTTGGGTTGACTGGTCCTTTCCATCCCCTTGGATTAGTTGTCATGGACTCTAGCCCAGCTCCAATACCTGTATACTACATATTTTCAGCTCAATTCTTAATGCAAGAAAAGACAATTGATGTAACCAAAGATAGTTACTATCTTACCAATGTCATAAAAACCTGCTCTTATGGCAGCGGCGACGTCAGCAACAGCTTGAAGCCCAGATGAACACTGTCTGTTCACGATTCTGATGGGAACAGTTTCTTCCAACGGACATAAGAGCATAAGCATACAGCAAACGAAAAAAAAAGAAGAGATTCAGGATCACAAATTACCATATTAGAGAAGAAAATCTTACCAGGGAAACCAGCATAGAACGCAGCCATCCTGCATTCACTGGCTCTTTGAGATCCTGGTCCCAAAACAGTACCCACTACAATGTCACCAACTTCACTTGGGTTAACATTTGTTTTCTCTATCAATCCCTACCAATAAGAAGCTACTACACATAAGTGCAAATTGAAAAAAGGGGAACCCAAAAACCAGGAAATAGAATTGAATCTGACATACTCTCAATACAGATGCAAGCAACTCGTCTGGGTAAGTATCCTTGAAGCTGCCACGTTTTGCCTTGCAAAGTGGAGTCCTTTGTGCCCTGTGAATCACAAGAAGCAAAGAAAAAGCTTCAAAAAGTTTCCATAAGGTCTTGAACAATACCCAAAACAAAAAAAAAACGAATGAGAATAGAGAAACTTAACGCGACAATGACAACATCATCTCCATATTGATATGCAGCACTTTCTTTGGCCAAGCAAGGTGAGGCCTTTGTGAGGAAGCAACACAACACAGTAAGAGATACATTGTAAATCAAACACAATTACTAATCCTACTACACCAAGAAAATACTAATAATTCAAAAAAGAATCCAACAAGAACCAACCAAAATCACAAAATCATGGTTATATAGTTTCAGTAACAAAATTCCAAATCACATGCAAAGAATTCAGAGGAAATAGCGATGAGAAATTGGGAAATGCGAAGAGCTTACAGAGAGAGAAGCGTTAGAAGAAGACGAAGAAGGTTGAAGATGCTGAAGCAGTATCCTTTGTCTCTCTATCGCTTTTTCCATTTTTCTCGTTAAGTTTTTTTTGGTTCAAAGCGAAGCAGATTGATTGTTGTACTTTATCAAAAAAAATAAAAAAGACTAAACCGGTTCACCCCGGTTAAGTCTGGGTTACATTTACGGAGGGTTTAGCGGAATCAATCATCTGGTTATGACGATAACGACGTCGTATGAATTTAGGGTTTTAGGTTTGTGTTACATATTTATTAGATTCACCTTTTTAAGAGGTCTCACTTTCTTTCTCTCAGAGAAAACAGTCGACCGTCATTTCTTGGACGGCTCGTTTCTCTTATCAGTTAACCCTAAGAACGCCGTCTTAGTCTCTCTTCGAGGCTACTTTCTTCAATTCATCGGTTCTCGACGTAAGTCTTTGCTTTCTCTATTCCCTTCTATTCTACTTGCCTTTTTGCTGCTGTTGTTGTCTCTTTTTGTTTTTTTCTTCTCAATGTTTATGAAGAACTTTTGGTACTTTTAGTCTTTAGACTTGTGGGTTTTCGTTTTTGATTTCCCTTATCGTATTGTTGATGATTTGTAGCTTCGTAAGTTTGGTGCTTTGGTTTGTTTTTCATGTCAAAATCTTATTTTTCCAAGCTCACACTTTGATTAGTTATATATCTCATAACAATTCTACTTATTATCAAAGCTATTAATCGTTTTGTTGGTACATGTTTTTTAATTCCGGATTTTGTGCACAGATCGATAAGCGAAAATGGTTCAATACAATTTCAAGAAGATCACTGTTGTTCCCAGTGGGAAGGAGTTCGTTGACATCATCCTTTCACGGACTCAGCGTCAGACACCAACTGTTGTCCACAAGGGCTACAAGATTACCCGTCTCCGTCAGTTCTACATGAGAAAAGTTAAGTACACTCAGACTAACTTCCATGAGAAGCTCTCTACAATCATTGAGGAGTTTCCTCGCCTTGATCAAATCCACCCTTTCTATGGTGATCTTCTTCACGTGCTTTACAATAAAGATCATTACAAGCTCGCCTTAGGCCAAGTGAATACTGCGAGGAACTTGATTAGTAAAATCTCCAAGGATTATGTGAAGCTACTCAAGTATGGTGATTCTTTGTACCGTTGCAAGTGTCTTAAAGTCGCTGCTCTTGGTCGTATGTGCACTGTTTTGAAGAGGATCACTCCTAGTTTGGCTTATCTCGAGCAGATCAGGCAGCACATGGCAAGGCTTCCTTCCATTGACCCGAACACTCGTACTGTCTTGATCTGTGGATACCCTAATGTGGGCAAGAGTTCTTTTATGAACAAGGTTACCAGAGCTGATGTTGATGTCCAGCCATATGCTTTCACCACCAAATCCCTCTTTGTTGGTCATACTGATTACAAGTACCTGAGGTACCAAGTCATTGATACCCCTGGGATTTTGGACAGGCCATTTGAAGACCGTAACATCATTGAAATGTGCAGTATCACTGCTTTGGCCCATCTTCGAGCTGCTGTTTTGTTCTTTCTGGACATTTCTGGATCATGTGGTTACACCATTGCTCAGCAGGCTGCTCTTTTCCACAGCATTAAGTCCCTGTTTATGAACAAACCATTGGTGATTGTCTGCAACAAGACTGATTTGATGCCCATGGAAAACATCTCTGAAGAAGATCGGAAGCTGATTGAAGGGATGAAAGCTGAAGCTATGAAGACTGCAATGGGAGCAAGTGAAGAATCAGTGCTTTTGAAGATGAGTACTCTGACAGACGAAGGTGTGATGTCTGTGAAGAATGCCGCATGTGAGAGGCTGTTAGATCAAAGGGTAGAGGCGAAGATGAAATCCAAAAAGATCAACGACCACCTAAACAGGTTCCATGTGGCTATGCCGAAGCCTCGTGATAGCATACAAAGGCTCCCTTGCATACCTCAGGTTGTTCTGGAGGCTAAAGCTAAGGAAGCAGCTGCAATGGAGAAACGAAAGACAGAGAAAGATTTGGAAGAGGAAAATGGTGGAGCTGGAGTTTATTCTGCTAGTCTAAAGAAGAACTACATCTTGCATCATGATGAATGGAAGGAAGACATTATGCCTGAGATTCTCGATGGTCATAATGTGGCTGACTTCATTGATCCAGACATTTTGGAGAGGCTTGAGGAGTTGGAACGTGAAGAAGAGATAAGGCTGGCTGGGGTTGAAGAAGCTGATATGGAGATGGATTTTGAAAAGCTTTCGGAGGAGGAGGTGAAGCAGCTTGCTGCCATTCGAAAGAAGAGAGCTGTACTCATTCGAGAGCACAGGCTCAAGAAGACCGTTGCACAGAACCGATCAACTGTTCCAAGGAAGTTTGATAAGGACAAGAAGTACACAACAAAGAGAATGGGTAGGGAGTTATCAGCTATGGGACTTGATCCGTCTTCTGCAATGAACCGTGCAAGAAGCAAGTCTAGAGGGAGAAAGAGGGATCGATCAGAAGATGCGGGTAACGATGCAATGGACGTGGATGATGAGCAACAGTCGAACAAGAAGCAGCGTGTGAGATCAAAGTCTAGAACTATGTCGATATCAAGATCTCAGTCAAGGCCTCCTGCACATGAAGTGGTGCCTGGTGAAGGATTCAAAGACTCTACTCAGAAGAAATCGGCTATTAAGATTAGCAATAAATCTCACAAAAAGAGAGACAAGAATGCACGTCGTGGTGAAGCTGACAGAGTTATACCGACACTTAGACCGAAACATTTGTTTTCAGGCAAGAGAGGGAAAGGAAAAACCGACAGGCGTTGATGAAACCAAACAAGGTACCAAAACGATACTCTTGTCACTTTTTTTTCAACTGTAATGATGCACTGGAAGGGCAAGTGTGTGAGATGATAATTGTTTGCAATCTCAAGAGAATGTATTTTGTTTCCTTGCAGAGAAAACAGATGCTGCAGCCATTGAAGAATCTCTCTCAAGTTTTGGAATTTGCTTTACCTTTAGTTTACTTGTTATGTTTTGCATCGTTTGTGTTTTTTCGCAGACATTTATGGATTATTATTATTATTATAGCTTTCCAGTGTGTTTGGAGGACGAATATTCGTTTAAGCAAATCTTATTATAATGGCTTTTTTGGAATTAAAGATTCTAAGATAAGTTTGGTTTTTTTTTTGGTAATTGTTTGAGTCGAGATTCTTGCTCGTAAGTTAATAACTGTAAAATCAGCTATTAACGTTTTAATCTTGTTCTTACTGTTGTTATAAGATAAACAATAAATAACAATGGTTAAAACTAAATCGAGGCGAATAGAATGGGAGCTGATGTAGTCGAATGAGTATCGAGTCCTAAAGAAGACTGATATTCCTCTGCTTAGTAATAATCATAGATAGTTCGTTAAACAGCATACTTTAGGCTTAGACAGGAGCTTTATTGTCGGATCAATCATCTTGACCTTGAAGATTGGTTAATTTAGGTTGACAGTTTTATTTAGTTTTCGGTTTTGGGTCGAGGATAAATTTGACGAAATAAAATCGAATCAGTGGTCGGATATGGGCCAAGTTAAATGAAACTTCGGTCTATCAAATTTGGTATTTGGGCTTGTATATGAGGTGGTACTATATGGGCCAGGCCTGATTATTCTAAATATAGATTACAATTATTAAAACGGTGCCGTTAGGATTTACAAGGCAAGAGAAGAGCGCGTTTAACCACTTATCGCGCGTGTCACAATAGACAAATAATTGAAGACAAACCCCACGCGCATGAAGAGCGCGTTTCACCAATTCGCAAGATTTTAAATAGAAAATGAGTAAAGTGAGGCGCGTCTGAGAAGTGAGAACTTTAACCAAACATCCCATAATGATAACGTTGCGTTTAATGGGCTGGGCTTATAACTCCACCATAATGCTTTACATAAAAAATTGTGTATTTTACACAATGGACCTTCAACTTTTTTGGTATACAACTTTTACCTAAACCGGTAAATGCCTCTCAATACTAATTTACAGACTCCACACAATCTCATAAATCTATACCCATCTTCGTATAACTTTCTTTCAACCAATAAATTTTAAAACCAACCCAAAAAAACGCTCTTACGTTTGAATGGAGAGGGCTTTTAGGTTCTTCGCTTGGGTTGCAAGGCAACAGTCATTGATCGAAGTCGTTCAACAATCTCCGTAAACGATGGCCGTACTCCTGGATCGAATGACCAGCATTGTTCCATCAGCTTCCTCCACTCTGCTTCACACCGTTCAGGCACCGCAGGCCTTAACGTATTGTTCACAATTCCACCTTTTTATCAAACCAAACAAATCAAAATTATATGAGATTCCAAAGCTCAATCCAAGTTCATTTTGTTCAAAGACTGAAGAACTGCTTATGCTAGAAACATACCAATGATGGCACCGCAATGCAGATTCGCATAGGGTTCTTCGCCTGTCAAGATCTCCCACATCACAATACCAAATGAGAAAACATCGACCTGCAAAAATATGTCAAGATTCAAACATGCGATAAAGGCTCAACATTTTCAATGTTTTGATTTTGGACTCAACAACATACTTTCTCTGAGACCCGATTGCTGCTTCCGTTTAGAAGCTCTGGAGCCATCCAAGGAAGGGTTCCTCTTACTCCACCAGAGACAAGCGTGTTTCGTTTTATTCTCGACAATCCGAAATCTCCAACCTGCAAATGGAACAGTGAGACGAATAAAGATAGTACTTTTCTCATACAATTTGGCTTGAAATTACCTAATTTTGGGGAAAAGTGTTACCTTGCAAATGGGTCGTTGTGGATCCCTCAAGTTTACTAGCAAGTTATCGCATTTAAGATCAAAATGAACAATATTTTTCATATGTAGATACTCCATGCCAAATGCAGAATCAAGAGTTATCATCAGTTTTTTGCGCCTATCAAGTAATCTGTGCCCAAAGTTTTCCATCAGTAAACTCACAATGTCATATCGCAAAAGATTATACAAGGATTTGACAGATTATTGTGTACCTGTCTTTTCTCTGCAAGACATGTCTCAAAGATCCGTTCACCATATACTCAGTCACTGTTGCCATTGTTCCACCAGGTCCATCTGGTACAACTCCATAAAAGGCCACTACGTTGGGATGGTGAAGATTCGCCAATATCCGAGCTTCTCTCCAGAAATCTTTAGTCTGTATCAATAAGGCATCAGTGAAAACTGCGGTTCTGAAATTCCCCTAAAAAGTACAAAGACTCGAGAGAGTGTTAAACCTGCCGTGCTTGCTCGGATGATCCACCAGAGAAACAACTATTCTTTATCCTCTTGATAGCAACATCAGTTCCTCTCCACTTCCCATAGTAAACAGTTCCAAATGTACCAGAACCAAGCTCGTGTAAGTCTTCAAGATCAGTGTTTTTAATTATCTGTAAGCCATATATTCCAGCTTCAATTTCAACCATTGCAGCTTCGCTGAATGAATCATCGGTGTTTCTGCTTTTCTTGTACTTTTCCTGCAATATGGAAAAATACCAGAGAGATAACCCCCAACCTGATACACGCCAAGAAAGCCAGAACTTCTAATCTAAAGGACAATATAAATTTCGTACCTCCATTTCTGATTCATGATCCGCATTTGTAATCTCTTTCTCCCTTGTGTAGGATTTGTGATCATCATCTGACTCACTATGTACATGAGGGACAATAGTAGCTGATAAGAGGTTATCTGAAATTACTTCGTTCGTCACATCCTCAACTATCAACTGTGGACCAAGCAGCTTGCTTTTGAAGAAATCATCTGATTCCTGCGTGTGCATAAAAGTAGTTTCTCTACTTCCCACCTTCCTAAGTGGCAATCCACTATAGTGAATACTCTCTTCTCTAGGAAGAGAGTTTTGAGTATCTGAATCATCGCTATTTGTCTCCAAATCCTGCACATAATTTGAGGAAAACAGACTTAGACCAAAACGACTGCTAAATTTACTTAATGAATAGATTAATTATGCTTACATGTCTCGGAATCATAGGCTCCTGTCTCAGAAATTCCACGGGGAAATTTGTATTGGGTGAGGAGTAATCTGCTTTATCACTTGACTTGGTTGTACAACATAGTTGATCTGTAGCTGAAGTGTGGCTTCTGATGAGAATATCTAGTGACATGTCATGCTGGAAACCATTGAATTTGTCCTTCGAACAATCAAGATAATTTTCGTTAGTGTTAACTGATAAAGAGAACACTGAGCTTCCTGAATCTTGTGAATCACTTGAAGTAACCTGAGCAGCTGGTTGATGATTCGGACTGAAATAATTCGGACTGAAGGAGCTATTACTGTTACTACCACCTTGTTTCTTTGTTGCCTGGTCAAAAGAACCGGGATTATGATCGCCATCGATCCAATTATTAGGAACTTCTTTGGTGAGTACAAGCTCCTTGCTTCTCTTGCCTTCTGGATTATTGAAATAGATATCATCACTATCTTCCCACTTTGACGTAGCCACAACATGTAGATTCTTTCTCAATATTTTCCATGGTTGTTTGGTAAATGCTTCTAACCCATTGTTGATTTGGCTCTCATCATGCAGCTGGGGATCAGAAAGAGCGTTTTTCTTAAGCGTCAATTTCTCGGCTCCCATATAAGCTTGGCCATGGGGGTAAATATCGTCGCTTGGCCTCCGGTCATGAAGATTCACTTCTGGATGCTTCTGCTTTTGTGTAGTAGTATCAAAAAAGAACCTATGTTGCTGAGGGAAGTTTGGAGCAGCCAAGTAAGGGTCAAAGAAACCATTTTGATCAGCAAAATAAGGAACGTCGGTATTTGCTCTCTTGTGAGCTGAAAAAGGAGATGCTGGAGGAGATTGTTGACCAAACGAGTTCCTCGGAATCTGCATTTTCGGCATAAAATGAACAGCATTCGTGTTCGCATATGGTTTCATGAAGGTTGGACTGTTGCAGTCTTTGTGTTCCCATGTATGAACAGAAGTAGGCGAGTCTCGAAGATGAAATGTAGGGCTAAATTCTGAAGCATTCCCAAATTGTGTTGTCTGACTTGTCCCACTTTGCCCGCTGGAACTCTTTTGAGGACTCACATCCACAACATTATTAAGAGCTGAAACATACTGATAATGATCTATATCAGTCTGCTGGTTCGTGTTTCGGTTTATGTTCATATTCCTTTCATTGAAAATCTTTGGACTCTCTGATGATTCTGTTGAAGATACAAGAAAGACCCTAATCCTCTGGGATCCAGCCTTTGTTTCAGCTTCTTGATACTCTTCAATCATATGAAGAAGATCCTCATCTGAGCAAACCGATATAAGTGCATCAAGATCTTCTCCTGGTAATTGATACTTGATTGTATGCGGATGGTTGCACAAAGCATAAGTCTTGTGCATCAATTCGTTTAATCCAACATGTTTCCGTATTGAGATAATCCGAGTCTCCCCTCCAATGTATCTAAGCTTGCCATCACCAGGTCTCTGTAAGATCCTTCCCCCGAAACTACAAAGAAGCTTCAATACTTCTGGCAAATAAACATCTGATGTTGCAGTTTGAAACATCTTCCGAGGTGAGTCTGCAACATTTGACTCAGCAAAGTATCCACTCGAGGAATTAATACCTTCTGACATGTTGGAATCAACTCTTTGAAGCCCAAGAATTCTGTTGAAATCCTCATAAACAAGATGGCGATTATTATAGTTACCCTCAATATTTCTACTCACACCACCCTGTACTCTTCGTTGAGCACCAAAATCCCTCAAAAACTCATTTGAAAATTCCTCTCCTGTCTGAGAACAGATATTATCATCACGCGTGTTATTACCGACTTCCCCATTGAACCTATCCCTACCTAAATGCTGATTGGAGCTGCCAGGAAACTCCATTCTCATGTTCTCAAGAACCAAAAAGCCTTATTCTTTCTTGTGCACAATCTCTTGTATCACAGATTCTGAGGAACCAACAAGTCCTATTCTTCAACTCCCCAATCTCAAAACAGAAATTTTGAGAGAAAAATCCAGAATTTCGTATTCTCTTACGCTCTTTGAGGAAATATAGCGAACAGGTTATGGAGATTCATACCCACAAAAAACATCTTCAGGGTATATTGCTACAAGATCATACCAAATCAAACAGAGACCAGAGATTTGTTCTTATTCAAACGTATTGGGACATTTAAGATTGCATCAGATGAAATGCCCCTGCACAACAACAACAACGAGAAACTAAGATTTCTTCAATACAATAAATTTCATTTTTTTCTGCAAATGTTGATCACACAAATCAATCGTATGTACATATATAAGCAACGAAATCAATGATGACACCGAATATGTTGAAAACGAATTGAAAAATTGGAGCTTCAGATGAATTTGATTACCCGGGGGAAAATTGCCAATGAGATTAACAATGAAGGAGAAGGAACACAAACAAAAAATGTTTCTGGAGATTGATGTTTTTCAAAGTTTGAGGTTTTTGATTTGCGAGAGAGAGAGAAAGAAGAGAGACGCAGAGAAGCGCTCTCAAAATAACGCGGGTGGGTGACAAACTCCAAAATAAAAAAGACAAAAACTTTCTCTCTCGAAAATTCTCTCTTTTTATTTTCTCTAATAGAAATAATTTTTGATTTTATTCGTTTCACTTGAATCATGGGTGAAATCATCTTTAATCTATTAATAATCTTGTTTTATCTGAATTTTTTTATTTTAGATATTTCAAATAGTAAATTCATAAATTGCATGTGGAGGTTTTTGAGGGAACGTTTTTATCTATTTTCTTTCTTTTTTTAGACAATTCCAGAAACTTTTTTCTTTTTACTGATCTCTTAAGTTTTGTAACTAAATAAAACAGATCATCCAAATTTAGATTTTTATTGGGATCTTACCTAAAAAAAATTGTATAGGATGTCTATGCATGTATGTTATTAAAACATGGTATATAGTTGTGACATTATGTTGTGCACGTTGAGCTTTAAATACCTCCATCAAATCTTTTATTTATATTGTCATTTTTTCCACCACTTTTTAGGGTTTCATATAAAAATATTAATAACATATTCCACAAGAATTGTTTGATGCGCTATTCAATATATTGACGTCATGATATCGCAACTACAAAAACCAAACTTTAAGTTTCACTACTAACAAGTAACAATAAGACCGTTTTTAAATGATGAAACAACAACTAAAAAAACACATTACTCTCTCTCTTTCTCTGTCTGAGTCTTAAAAATGCATAAGCTGCCAAAGAGAACAAACAAAGCCAACACGAGACAAAACATCCAACAACAAACATCACACATCTTCTTCTAATGTTTTCTTTATCTTTTTCCTGCAACACTCTTTTGAAAGCGATTGAATAGGAAAGAAAGATCTTGGATTTTGGTTTTACCGATACGATTCAGGACGTTTTGGTTTGCTCTGTATCACTTGCTCAATCTTGTCCAGAACAACAGGTGTCAACAATGGGATCACATCAACAGCTTTCATATTTTCTTGAATCTGTGTAGGTACAAAAAAGGTAACAAAATCTTTCAAATCGTGGATCCAAATCTAGACCGAGACTCGCTATGTTCCTTATGGAGAGCCCGGAGGCTAATAAGCGACTGTGGATTCAAGAACTAACCTGTGACTCCCTTGTGGCACCAGTGATAACGGATGACACATTAGGATTTGAAGCACACCATGCGATTGCAAGCTGAGCCAAGGTTACACCTAGCTCATCTGCAATGGGTTTGAGACCGCTAACTTTCCTCAGCACGTCATCCACAAGTGATCTATTGGCAAGGTTCTGCGAAAGAATTTAAAACAAGAAATGTACCAGTTGATTAGTTGGATGCAGAAGCAGATTGAGGTCTTAGCAACTATGACCAAGAATACACAAGAAAAAAGGAAAAAAAGGAATACTTTGTAGTTCTCCAATGCAAATCGGCTGTCTGAGGGAATAGCTCCCTTGTTGTATTTACCAGTGAGCACACCCGATGCAAGTGGGCTCCAAGTAGTGAGACCTATACCATGGTTGGTGTACAGAGGAAGAAACTCTGTCTCAACCTACATAACACAGGAGCATAACTTGAGCTACATATCACGAGAGTACAACTTATTAAGGTACATAACATGAGAGCACAACTTAAGACTGAACAAGATAAGACGCCAACATGAAAGTAAACTAAAGAAAAAGAGAGTCAGATTACAAACTTTGTGCCTGGCAAACATGTTGTATTCTGGCTGTTCAACGATTGGACCAACCAAATCCAACCGGTCAGCAGCTCCCCATGCCTCGGTAATTTGTTGAGCTGACCATTCACTGGTTCCCCAATAGAATGCCCAACCCTTATCAATCACGTAGTTCATCGCCCTAACCGTCTCTTCAATAGGAGTTGAAGCATCCGGCCTGTAATAAATGATCCAATTCACAAAAAAAGGAAACATTCTTCATAAACATATCTCAATCAAGAAGCTAGTGGCCCTAAGATCAATGCAAAAGACGCCCATTTTTCAAAATATTTTGTGCATGTATAGAGATCGTCAAATCCCATATCACAAAGAAAGCAAAATGCAGATCCCAAAAATCAGCACCGAGGAATCACAGAATCATATGAAAACAAAACAGAAACCAACAGATCCACTTATACAGCAAAAAGGCTACAACATAAGTTGATTCAAAATTGTAAATTTTATAAATTGAAACAGCAATTTGTACTAAAAGCACATTAAATGCGCACACAACATAGTACAGGAGAATTTGAGATAAACTCTTCAATTTCAGAAAACCTAACAGTTAAATCACATCAAATCAAAACCCTAGATCTTCAAAGAAAGAAGTGAACATGAAAAAATCTGAAATTTTTCACCTGTGGCAATAGAGCACATCAACATAATCCATATCAAGTCGTTTGAGAGAAGCTTTAGTGCCTTCGACGATATGTTTCCTCGATAAACCCTTATCATTAGGACCAGGACCACCCCAGAAGATCTTGGTAGAGACGACGATATCGGATCGACGCCAACCCAGCTCACGAATCGCTTGACCCATAATCTCCTCAGCGCGACCATTAGCGTAAACCTCGGCGTTGTCGAAGAAATTGACTCCATGATCACGACAACACTGAAGAATCGATTTCGCTTCCTTCACATCGAGCTGGTTCCCAAACGTAACCCATGCTCCGAATGAGAGCGTGCTCACCTTCAAACCCGACTTCCCCAGATTCTTGTACTGCATTTTTGCAGAAATCGATTCAAATCTGTTGATCTAAATCTCTCACTATCTCTCTCTCTCTCTCTAGGTCTCAAGAGGAGTTTGTTGTAATGAATGAAGAAAAGATATTAAGTACTCGACTATTACCAATCTTAACAAGTGACACTTAGCAAAATACGATAAGCTACCGGTTTGGTTTAACTTTCCGGTTATCAAGATAACCAATTCCAATAGACCAATACCATTGAATGTACGTCGCAAATTTAGCATTCTACAATTTCCGATACCAAATTGTAGGTGGTACCAAACCATATCGAACCTAGAGAAATTGGTTGCTTGGTAAGAAATTATCCGGTCTAAAGGTATTCCGGTTTAATCGCAATTTGTATAAAATCATGTGAATTTAATTCGTGATCTAATTAAAGATGCTGATCCCTCGTACTAAAAAAGAAGCGTGATCTCGTAATTTTAATTAAGATGGAAAAAAGTCTAAAAAGAGAAGATTTTTATTTGGCTCCTAATGGGTCACAGAATCCCATGTGAATGACTTTAGTGTAGTCTACATGTACAAACCAATAAATGACTGAAACGTGTCTTTTCTTTTATGAAAAGTTGTTCATTAATAGAAGAGTTGTGCTGTATTGGGAGAACTTTGCCGTAGGCGAATAAAACTGGAGTCATTGTCACGTGAAAGGTTTCATCAGTCACTCTAACTTTGGAATATTTCAAGTCCTTCACGTTCACACTGGGTTATAGGTTGTTGGGCTTTGTTTTATATAGGCCTTTTAGAGGCCCATATTATCTTACTCTCCAGATTCTAGTAACTCACATACTCTATCTGTCTCTCACACATGAGATGTTGGATATGCAAACAAGAGATCGACATGACCCTTGTATATTATTAACATCTAATTTCAAAATTTAATGATTTTGGGCTGACAACCGTCTAATCTTGATATGATGTTATTGTTATATATTTATGATCATTTATAGTATAGTTTATGGGACGACATTTTTAATACTCATAAAGTTTTTTTAAAGTAGATATATTATCCGCCAATTGCACTTATTGTATTCTACTTTTTTAAGTTATAAATTGTATTAGCTATTTTACAATGTTACCAAACAAGTTATGTATAACTCTTTACTAAAAAAATTCTTAAAAGGAGTTGCATTTGTATTATTAAAGTAGAGAATTTTATAAAGAAGAAAAATTAAGATTTAGTAATAATGTTTGAGAAGATAATATCGGTAGACTTGATGAATTTTAAATTTTATCTGCTGTTCTGGTAATGAATGGGTTGGAGAAGCAGATTGCATTTGATGCATGTGAGTGTGGGGTTTGGATTCGTTACCATCTAAAAACTCTAATTTTATTGCCACCAAGAAAAAAAAAAAAAAAAAAAAAGTAAGAAGGAGATAAATTAAAAAAAAAAAAGAGGTTCGCCAAAATCTCCCACCAAGGGTTGACATTTTCTTCCTGATTTTTTCTCGTACGTTATCAAATCCTAATTTAGCTTTTTCTGCCCTTTTCTTCCATGTACCCCATTACTAATCATATGTTTTTCGGTATGCTACATCAATTTGATCATCTAATCACATGCGATTACAAAACCAAATTTATTTTTTCCATAAACATATAGTTAATCAGTATAACAAATAAGAAAAAATGAGTAGTTATAGATAATTCATGAGTATGCATGTATAAATGATGTCCACCAAATTCCAAAAGCAAAAGAAAGATAATGACTTAGTGCGAGCAATCGCTCGAATGCCTTTATCGAATTTTCAACTAATCTTAATAATCTTACTTGGATGGAAACCATTGTATGATATATTGTTGCATGTTAAGTTTTTTTAAATCTGAAACTGCAAACACAAATCTAAAGGCAAACAAACAACCAAATCCTTAGTCTAGATATAAATCAAAGTATATTTAATTCCTTACTAAAAGTTAATTATATGTACTCGGAAATAGTACAATATATAGTAAAACTCTATATCAAGAAACTGCATGCATTATGAAGATTTTTTGTTAAAGACATGCATTATGAAGATCACAGGATCAATTAAGTTCACGGGTAATGGTTTCTTGAGAAGATTTTTATCATATCTTTGGAGTTAATCCAAATTATTTCACTGTATACATAGCTTTTTCGTAGTACTTTTTAATACAAAAAGGTATTTTCCATTGAAATTGTATGAATTACGAAGATCACAGGATCAATTTAGTTCACAGGATCAATTTCGTGGGGGTTGAATGAAACTCTCCACTTATTTTTCATTTGATTAGAGAGGTACAGTTAGTGTTTCATGTGAGTCTTCTCTAACATCTTTTAGTTTACTTTTCTTTTCTTGTTTTTTGTTGAATTTTAGTGTACTTGCCTTCGACTAACTTCTAAAGAAAACGGTAAAGTGCCGTTGTATATATCTGCGAGGATTAGTAATATATACGAATACGAGTCATGACCTAACAAATCCTTAATCAATAGAACTTAATTTTGATCTCTAATCGCTGCAAAACCCATATATCAGAACTTTTACCAATAAAACTCAATTACCGAAAAAAGTATGATATTATAGTCTCTCTGCGACTCAAATACATTCTTTTAGCTAGACACATGCATTTTGCTTCATAGTATATATATATATAATGACACATCATAGTTAGAAGAATTTAATTTGACACGTCTCTATCGAATTTAACGTTGCAATGACACGATAAAGATCATCTATATGAAAATTACGGAAGAACCTTCTAGAGTACGTCCGATCAAGAGGATATAAAATCTTTGGTTTCTTTCTTGTGTGCAAATTTTGTCATTTAGTTTACATAACAAAGACAAAAACAACACATAACTAAAATAAAAACAAATGACGTCTCTTCGTAGCACAAAACGACGACGTACAATGTCGATTGGATCCAAGTTCCAACTATTCGATATTTTTGTAACGTGTGGAAGTGTCGGTGCCTCGGCTAATATAGTAACAGACGACAAATATAAATACTTCGAATTATCCACGACATATCTATTTATATACATACCTCAAACGTAATTATAAATTTAATACATTTATGGCATTGGATCGTCATGATGAAGATGTCGTCCCCAAATTTTGATTCAAGTCAATCAACTGAGACACTTACATGCAGTAAAGATATGTCGTAATGGAATAATGGTAACGACGATTGATCGTTTAGATCATTTAATATATTAGAGTAATCGTCCACTTCATCAAAGAAAGACACATTCTTCTATCGAATTTATAAATTTTGGCTGAACAAACACTATATGGTTAGACTTTTCCGGCTTAATGGTTAGTGACAAAAATTAGTTACAGAATCGAATAATGGGTTCTTGATGTTTTTCACTTTGGTGAGAAAAAAAAAAAAGCAAAAAAAAAAATAGGTTAAAGAAAAAGATAGGTGAAAAAAAACGATGAGTAAAAAAGAAGTGATTGGGAACCAATTTGACCCGCGAGTTTTGGCGTAACCAAACATTTCGCACCAACAAGACAAGATCTTCTCTTTATTATAGCTTTTTGCACTTTTACAAAAGTAAATTTGAACAATAAAAGTGTAACAAAAAAAAAGTTTCAATTATTACCAGTTACCCGCCAATCCAACCTCCCCCATAATGCGCACACATGGTACACATCATAAATAAATACTTGAAAACGTAATATTAAAAACTATTTAAATAAGAAAAGAATGAAGAGTGCATTTTGATTTTTGACGAAAACTACAAAAACTTGGGAGTGATATAATTTTTTAGCTAACAGATCATTCGGTTGAATTATAGAAAAAAAATAGAAATACAATTTTCTATTTCTTTACAAAATTGTTTACGACAGTGATGTTTCTCCAATTGATAATAATGTTCCATAATAATCAAACGGAAATGAGTAATGTTAATGTCACCATAGTTAAACTGAGACAAAAGGTTCTGAGTTCTGAACCGTTTGATCTTATAATCAATTGTTAGCATGACGTTGGACCATCATTATGTATCCAACAAAAACATATATAACGTTGTACTCAATATCATCATTCACTTCAAGTCTTCGATAGTAAGTTAGAAATAGTCAACTATTTAACAGTTTTTTTTTTTTTAACAAAATCCAACTACTCTTCCAAAACTTAAAAAGTAAAAACCTACCAGCTTATTCTTGGGTTGTCTAATGTTTTCTCACAAATCACAATCGTTATTACTTCTCATATATTATTGTGTAGAATTCCTTATAGACACATTTATTTATTTTTATTTTTTTTTTGACTTTATAGACACATTTGAATGGCAGTAATTGTTTAAACTAACACGTTTAATCTCAATAACCCATATATCTTTATAGTTAGAGTGGGTTGGGACTTGAGAGACGGTCAAAACGTTACAATAATATTCATCCCCGTCTCTGACCCATGGCAGAGTGGACATTTTCCAAGGGCCCAAAATTTTAAGAATCTTTTATTATATAATTTTGTTGTATGATTTGAAAAAAAAAACAAATTAATTAAATAAAAGGGTCCATAATTAAAAATGTTTCTAACATAAAAGGCCCAAAAAAATAACTAACCTAGTTATAATTAGCAAAATGTTTCAAAAACTTAATTAATATAATCAAAAAACGTGTAAAATGGTAGAAAATAATCAAAAAACGTGTAAAAGAGCCCATATTTTTTTTTTAAAAAGTGTAAATTAGCCTGAAATTTTTTAATAATAGGGCCCAAAATTTTTTAAATTCTATTTTTTACATAAAAGGGCTCATATATTTTTATTTTTTTAAGATAATTCAAAATTTTATTTATAAAATGGTCCAAAACTTAACTAAAAATTCAAGAAAATCTAAAAAAAAAAATTCTATAACAAAAAGTCCAAAAATTTTGTTTGGCGCATTTTTATAAAAATAATTTATTAACGCTCATTTGCTATTCAAACAAAACATTCAAAAATTATTTACTTAAAAGTTTGACTAGAAAAAATAAATATGTGGTATACCGCGGGTCAAATACTAGTATTTTATAAATATTGTATAAATAAAAGGCCCATTTTTATATTTTGCCTAAGGTTGTACAAAAGCCAGAGACGGGGCTGATAATATTCTTAGTTTAAAGCTCGATTCGGTAGAAAATTTGACTTTACATATTTGTGTATTTTTGGATAGGATAGGATTTGGGATACGATATCATGGGTACGTCCAAGTTATAGTAATGTTGGGATTGAGGGTAAATTGGT